TTTTTCATTCATTAGGGAAAGCAAATTTGAAATCATTGTTTCATATTGAACTATGGATCTGTAGGTATGGTAATATTCCAATCCGTGCACAGGGATATTTCCTTAGCTGAGTAACTGATAAAATAAATTTCTTGGAGTAAAGTTTCAGGATTTTATGTGTCATCAATTTCTGTTATCTCATTTCTCTTTCTGACCAGTGGGTTTTAATAATGAAAAAAAAAAGATATATAATTTTTAATAGAAAACGAAATCTTATAAAATGTTGAAATAACTACTTGTTACATTTTATTGATAGATGTGAAATTATTGTATATAGATTTATATCTATTTCAATACTTCTATGTATACAGGCCACTTATGTTAGAATATCAACAAGTCTCTCAGTCTGTAGTTATCAGTCTTTATTTGGAGATTCATAAATACAGAACTCCACATTTTACAAACTACTTTGCTCTTCCATACTTGTGAATTGTGTTCTACCTAGTTAATGAGTACCAAGAGAATTATTAACCAAGGCCTCTGGACTTCCCTATTCTCAGAATTTATCTTTGTGAGTTATTTCAGGTGACTGGTATCTAGTTCTTTTCTTATAATGGAGGAGGCATTATGGCCATTACCTAGGCAGCCAATATTCAAATAATTTAGTTACTGGTTCTTGCAGTATTATTCACTCTGGTGCCATGGAACCAAAGCAAGTCTTAGTCACTTGAGAAAAATCACACAAACATCTAATTTTAATAGTGATCTTATTTTTTTACAGAGTGCTTTCCTATTTTTGTTATATCTTCTAAAAATAAGGTGTGTCTTGTACTGGAATTCTATCCATGTGATTATGAAATCAAACAGACTTTTCAAGTGAGCACCGTTTACCTCAGAACAGATAAACACAGAGGTTAAGGAAAGTATTTTTCAGGAATGCTTAGAAGAAGCCAGCAAGCCAAAGGCCAATCTATTTGTTTTACATGTTCATGTGTGGTAAAGAGGATGGTAGTGTTAGCTTTTTTGTTTTTCAAGATTTCAAAATGTCTCCTACATTTGAGATATTCTCATTGTTACCTCCTTTGGGTGATTTTATCACACAACTGTTGTCTTTGCATATCGTCGTGTGTTTTTCCACTTCCCTTATTTTTACATGCACTTTCGTTTTGCCTGTAACAGTTCGCTTTCACCTTCATTCATTCAGTAAATTTCATTGAGACAGAGACAGGTTGTTCTTGGTCAAGACATGAAAAAGCTGCCAGAATTGTAGACATTTTCTAGACGGATCCTCAAATGTTCCTGGTTCATAGAGTACCAGAATTACTGTTTTCGCCAAGGATTTTTTTCCACTAATAACATAAAAGTTGGAGCTGGTATTGCAGGGTGAGATAACACGGGCAATACCCGTTTATACAAAGATGGTGATAACAATTGCTCTGGAAAAGATAATTGTGTGGAAACACCTTTATAGAATAAAAAGTCCAGCAGAACTCGTTAAGCTGGCTCCTCTCAGGTTGTCATGCTATGGGAACTCGCTGATGAGTTTCATGTGTGAAACTTTAGCTCCTTTCATTCTTTCCCCTATAAGACCATCTGAGGTTCAAAGGAAAGCGATAATTGGGTCAATGGGGATGCCTAACAACACATACTCATCAGAAAAAGGAAAGCATCTTGGAGTTTTAAAGATTATTTTCTGGATGTATACTAAATACACAGAATTCCAGGTTCCATTTTTAGCCTTTATTAGGTGAGGCTGGAAATGTAATCCGTCTATGACAAGTTTTTCTGAACTGGCTCCAGCCAGTCTGAATTAGTCTCATCTGGTGTGAACCAGCCTAAACTGGTCTGAACCAGTCTGAACCAGTTTGAATCAGTCTGAACTGGCCTAAGCCAGTTTCAGCCTGTCTCAACCAGCTTGAACCGGTTTCAGCATGTCTGGACTGGTCTTAACCGGTCTGAGCTGAATTCAACTGGTCTGAACCAGTTAAAACCGGTTCAGGTCAGTCTGAGACAGTTTTAACCGGTCTGAACCAGTTTTAACTGGTATAAACCAGTCTCTACCAGCATGAATTGGTTTCAGCCGCTTTCAACCGGTAGGAACCAGTTTGAACCAATCTGAACCAGTCTAAAACACAAAGTATGAGAAAAGTGACAGTCCAGTCACAATGGACATGGGACAAGGAAGAGAGAGAAAGACAGAGACAGAGAGAGACAGAGAGATGCTATTTCATAATTTTAGACCAGCATATATTTTCAGGGTTTTAGCTAAAAATCTACTACCCTGGTTAGATTTTTTTTAACCCTTTGAATTTATAATAAGCTAAAAAGTGTGTGTGAATTTACTCCAAGTTGCTTTCTCTGCTGTATAATCATTTGATCTCTGTAAATAGTAGCTGGCTTGGTCCTTCAACACTCAGCTTTATCTGTTTTATTCACAGTGCCCATTGAATACTATCAGAGTTCACTCTTCTTGGGGCTATACCTAGAAATTCTATAAACATGAATTTATAAGGCTTATGTCATTTGCTTATTATATTTTAGAGGACCATAAACTGTCTGGAACACAACTGACTTTTTAATCATTGTTTCCTGTAATTAATCTGCTAGAGTGTTTTAATCATTAAAGTAACCCTGGTTTCTCTTATTTAACATGAACAGATTAGAATTCATAATCAAAAAGTTTTCTTTTACTTAAAAAAAATACCTCAGTATTTGGTAAAAATAGGACTATGGCAATATTATTACAGTATTAATGTGTATCCAACTGTTTTGTGTTCTGATGCATTTATGGAAGATGCATTTAATTTCAGTAAAAATGATGGCTCAGCCCTTAAGTTAACAAGAACTTTTTCAAGTATATTACAATCATTATTAATTATTATTGATGTTGTTGCAGTGGCATACCATCCATCTAATCATATCTATCAGAAAATTACGTGTCATAATTGACACCTCCTATCTTTCATCATCCTAAATCCTAGGTTAGCCAATTTCCATCACACAATCTTCTGAGATATACACATTCACAACTCTCAGTATTCCATGAAAAAAGTCTGCTACCACATGTATTCTGGAATTACTTCAGTAGTTAATTGGCATTTTCTCATCTCAGCTGGCTTTTTGCCTACTTATTGTTATCCAGGCTTTGATCAGTAGTATAGTTTTAGAACAGACTGCCTTGTTAACACCTGACTTTAAATATACTTTGGTTGTCATACTCTTAGGGAATGATTAAAATTTACAAGAAGACATATTTTAACAGTCTGTTTAATTATTTAACTTCTAATGCACAGCTTTTTTATGATAAACACTCTCTATTACCAACATCGACAACTGCAATGCTAACATTAATTTAGGAGTATTTAAAAATTAGAAACACATACACACTCAAATCCATATACATATATATATACATGATCTGTATTTAATTTTTGTTAACCCTAATAGCAGATAAATTTATTTTTCAAAATATGGCAATAAACAGAAACAAAATTTTGACCAAGTTTGCCATTGTTTCTTTTAAATTATTCATATATACATATATAATATTTAAATAACATTTCTATCGCTATTCTACAGGGCAAAACACTCTGTATTTGATACTAAACATCGTATTTTGCATTTTAAATGTACACAGTGAGCTGATACTTTATCTACATAAAAAGAAGAAACGACTTCTCTGGTGTTAAGAAGTAAGTAAAATAAACAAATGAAACACCCAAAGTAGGAAGTTCTGTAGGTTTTAATAGTGGTATCTTCCTTGAGTATACTTATCCTTAGTCACTAAATTATTTTATCTTTTTCTTGTACAAAATAGGGATAAGACCATGTCTAGTTATTGAAAGAAAGCAAATATCATCTTTTCTAAATAATTATAGTTTATTTCTGGACAGAATTTCCACATTTAGATATTCACTTCTCTTCATGTACATTATGATCTACCACCTTGGGAGATCTGTAGTAGTCATTTAATGTGACATTTCTGACAGTTTTTCACATGTGCAGCACATTGGGGTTTAATAATGAGAAAAAAATCTAAATAATAGTTTAAGATTTTTCTTCTGATATAAAAATTATCTGACCTCAAGAAACTTAAATACTTGAAACAAAACTCAGCTTGGACTTTTTCAACTACAGTGTGGTATAAGAGGAAGAAAATCTATGACAACAGATTTCTCTAAGTTTGCACAACTTGACACCATCAGGAAGGTACAGTCTCCTTACTCACACACAGGTATGCAATGAACAGTGAATAAATAAAATAATTTATTTTTTAATATAACACCATTATAATATTTCTTTCATTTTCTACTTTGAATCCCACTTCAAATTTATGACCCTTTTTCTCTAATTATTACGGCAAGCATTATCTCTCTGTCTCTTAAACACACACACACACACACACAGATTCCTAAATATATCCTGTCTAGTCCATATCATGCTATTTGTATGTATGTTTTCAGGATTGGCCATTTGGTTACATATTATTTTTTGCAATAATATAGGGATTAAAGCATTCGTATTAAAATCTATACAGCACTGTATAGAAGAGTTTCTAAACAACCATACTTTATTTTACTATCAAAATTCCATTGATTTTTCAGAACTTATTTTTCTGCTAAATGCATGATTATTTTTTTAAAGCCTGCCATTCATATAGTATTCTTTTCAGGTTGCTTTGATTCTGTGAATATTCTTAAAGCTGAACTTTATAACTGTGATTTTGAGAAATCCTAATTTAGGATATTCATTAACTGCTATAGTTACGTCCTATGATTTTTTTTATTTTAATTAAAAAATATTAAATTTTAAAAAAATAAAACAATCCAAATTCCCAGTCACTCCCGTCTTTCCATTCCCTCCACACACTCTCCCAATCCACCCCCATGTAATCCCAAGAGAGGGTAAGGCACTCTGCTTTACAAAAAGTCCAAGGCCCTCCCTATTACATCTAGGCTGAGCAACCCATACATTCAAAGAGAATAGGATCCCAAAAAGCTAGCACCTTGAGTAGAGATACATCCCAGTGCCACTGCCAGGGATGTCTCAGTCTGCCCCAGCCATACAACTGTGGACCACATTCAGAGGGACTAGTTTGGTATTATGCTTGTTCCTTCCCAATCCATCTGGAGCTAGTGAGCTCCCTTTAACTCAAGTAAACTGATTCAGTTTATGAACCCTTCATGGTCTTCACCTCTTTTCTCATATTCTCATTCCTTCAACTCTTCAACTGGACCTTGGGAGCTCAGTCCAATGCTCTGATGTGGCTCTCTGCCTCTGTTTCCATCTGTTGTTGGACGAAGAGTCTATGATGACATTTAAGATAATCATCAGTTTGATTCAAAAAGATATACATTCAAAGAAATTATATAAATGGGAAAATATTATACTAATAAACCTTAAAAGTGTTCCTAGTAGATATCTCAAGAATAATTCCATTGCAAAACATGTTTACCTGATAAATAAACTAGAGTCTCCTGATTTTTACCTTCAAAATAAATTGTGTGTTATTTTGCCTTGGTTTGCCTATGTTTTCTGAAATAATTCTTAGCCTCCTAGGTATCTTTTAAATTGATCTTGATGTAGGTATAATTGTAGGGCTTGTCTTGCTTCTGAATAAATACTATATATACATTAGTGTTCATATAGTATTTCACACATTTAAAGTTGCCAAAGGGACCATAGTACATATACTTTGTCAATCAAGTGAGAAGAGTTAACACGTGAATCTATGCACATATTTACTGACATTTTTCCTATTGGTAGTGCTCTTGTCCAATAAATGGAGACAGTGGCTCTTTCACTAGGAATATTAGCAAGTCCACTTAAGTGGGGAGAGACAAATTAAAGACAAACATAGTATTTCTCCAATTTTTTTTTTTTTTTGGTTTTTCGAGACAGGGTTTTTCTGTGTTTTTTTTTTTTTTAATGCAACCTTTCATTCCTCAATCAGAACTATACAGAGAGAACACGGAAAGGAACACACACACACACACACACACACACACACACACACCTTTCTACCCTGCACATAGCTTAGTCCTTGATTCTAATAGGATGCTTTGTTTTTTATTTAATTTATTTTCTCATGACTAGTTCACTTTCCATCAGAGGTAGGTGCCCTGTATAGTCTTCTTGGAAAAGTAAAAATCTATAACACAAGGAAAATTCTTCACTGAATTTCATTGACATTGACTGCCTGATGCTAAGGTGAAAAGATCTGATTTTCGGTTAAAGTCAGGTGTATTACATAGCATTAATATGTATACTATGAACACTCTATTTGACATTTGAAATGCTCATGGTTTGGTGTTAAAGTTCTCTCCAAAGCCACTTATTGAGGGATTTGTCTTTAGATGTTGGTGCTAGGGAGAAGAGGTTAAACCTCCACGATGTAGGGCGTGGTAGAAGAAAGGCACTGTTGGGGGCAGGTCTTTGTTGGAAATACAGTGCAAAGCTTCTTTCCTTTTTTCTAACAGAGATGTAATATTGGATAACAATAGTCCTGAGCCAAATTAAAATTGATATGGAGGTAGAATCTCTACTTCCTAAAATTTAACATATTCATTAGAGATCATTAATTTCTAAATGACTAAGAATATGCCCTTACAATGTTGTCTTAGACTGGTATATTGTAACTGTGTAGAGTGTTCACTGGCTAAGTCTAATATTTGCAGCTTTGTCTTTAGTGAAACAGCAATGTTTGGTATGCTACCTATTATTTAATCATCACAATAAATGTAAGACTTTAAATATAATCCTTATTTTGTTGATAAAAAAGAAAGTCAGAGGGACTAGAGTGATTTTTTTATTATTATTAAATAATATTTTGATAGTATAAATTTTAATAGTATTTATTATGTGTTCTGAAATTGAAATTAAAGAATTTCAGAACACTTGATGTTCTGTGAACAGGGACATATTGTATACATATGTACAGGCATGCATGCAAATAACATGTAGGAATATAAAATAAGTAAATGTTTCTTTAAAAAAATGACCAGGCGGTGGTTGCACATGCCTTTAATCCCAGCACTCAGGAGGCAGAGACAGGTGGAACTCTGTGAATTCGAGGCCAGCCGGCTCTACGTAGGGCATTCTTGGACGAACTCCAAAGCTACAGAGGAAACTCTATGTCAAAAAACAATAGAAATAATGACAAATTTAACAAAAATAATTAAGAAGCCTCTAGCCAGACCTTAACCTCTAGATCTAGGGCAAAATACAATGCTGTTTGATACTGTAAAAAAGAGTCACTGTTGCCTCTCTTGGCCTAAGAGAAAGCCAGTTCTACCAAACACTCAAAAGTTGTAAAGGATTATTGTTTACATTACTGCCAAACTTTAAGAAAATTCCCTTTCATTATAATATTGCAAATTAACATTATATATAATACAAAGTAGTAAATATTTATATAAATTATTTTGATTATTAAATTAATTTAATTAACATAAAAATTTATTTTCTTATAAAACCTATTTTTCTCAGAAATGATAGTCTCCTTCCTTCCTTTCTTCCTTCCTTCTTCCTTCCCTCTCTTCCTCCTTCCATTTCTTTCTCTCTCTGTCTCTCTCTCTCTCTTTCTTATTGATTTTTTTATTCTTTAGGATTAAAGTTACTCTTAAGGTTTTGATCACAACATGTCACAGCTTAAAAACTACTGTATCTAACACTAGATAGGAAGTTTTTTGAGAGGAATTCTTTGCTCAACATAGCTATAATGCTGAAGTTAATTCAAAAATAAATATAAAGATATTAAGATTAACAATTACTTCTATCAGAAAAGAAGGCCCTTTAGCTTAAGACATTATTTTTATTTTAGCAGATTTTTTGTCATTAATGATAGATTTTACTCTGTGTGGCACATCAGCATGTAGGAAATATTCTAGGGGAAACTTGTGTATCACACTAGGAAACAGCTAGAATGACTGCCTTTCAAGGCTTAAAAGATTTTATTTGCTCATTTTTCTTTGTATCTTTATAAAACAGAATTTCCCTAGCTAACACAGATGGGTTTGAACTTCTGATGTTCCAACATCAGCCTCCAGAGTTCTGAGACTTCAGGCATGTTTTACATCTCTAACTTCAAGGATTGAGTTTGGTTCCTAGGAACCTATAGAACAAGTTTCTGTATTCTGTTATAGAGGGGAAAGACTGCTCCTGAATTAGAAAGCTGCCAACTATGTCTGTGTATCTCTGATCATTCACAGACTGCTGTACTAACAACTTTGATGTATAGCTGGAGTATAAATGCCTAGGGAATGAGGACAGAAAACATCATTTTGAGTGAGGTAACCCTCACTCAAAGACATCACAGAAAGACGATTATCACATGTACTCACTCATAAGTGGTGTTTAAACATAAAGTAAAGAAACCAGCCCACAAATCACAATCCAAGAGAACCTAGACAACAATGAGGACACTAAGAGAGACATACATAGATCTAATCTATATGGGAAGTAGAAAATGACAAGATCTCTTGAGTAAATTGGGAGCATGGGAAACTTGGGAGAGGCCTGAGGTGGAAGGGAGGGCTAGGGAGGGAGCAGAGAAGAATGTAGAGCTGAAAAAAATTTAAAAATAATTTTAATGTTTTAATTATAGAAAAAGTTTCATCATTGCATCTCAGTGAGAACAGGGCCTTATTTCAGCCTCACTATACAAAATGTATGCATTGACTGTGGTTAATGAGCAAATGTAATTCCTTGTTATTAAACATTTATTTTATTTTGACAACAACAATGTACTAAGGTGGTCATACCAATCTTGTAGATCTGAGTTAAAGTTACAATTTAATATTGAACAATGAAAATCACTCACAGCAAAGCTATGCGTCAAGAAACACTGGGGCATAATTTTTAAATTATGTCCTCATGCACACATTACAATTGGAATCCTCCTTCTCAGCCCCATATTCTGAAGAGTGAGTTCTCTAGAGAGCATCCCACCTCAATGGTATTTCTAAATATTGTTCAAAACCCTAATACTTATGAGAATGTGAATACCTCAATCCCAGCTGGAAAAATGTCTAGAACCAAGACAAATGCAACTATTCTAATAATGAATTACAAATGTTATTTAACAAACATGAATGAGTGCAAGATTTGTCACTTCTGGGAAACGTAGTCTTTTAAATGGTCCCATAGGGGTTACAGGATTAAAATTGCTCACATATGTTATTTCCATTAAAGAATGATCATTAAACTTGCCTGTGACCACAATAGTTGTTTAACAATTGGTTTATTTAACATTTGAAGCTGCTTCCCTCCATAAATTCAAATTACTTCATTACTTTCTAATATCATAAGGATGCTATTATCCACCATGAAGAACTGTAGCATAGAGCTGCTTTGAGAGGGCAAGTTTTCCATGTAGATTTTTAGCAATGTTGAAGACTGTTTTACCTACCCTAAGTGGTTGGAGGATACTAATGGTTTCTGGAGGTCACAGAGGCTTAAAAGCTTTTTGTCCCTGCAATAACATGAAATAGTATAACATGCCAATCATGCCAAGCTGAGGGAACTAAGAGCTAAAGTTTTATATATATATATATATATATATATATATATATATATATATATATATATATGAATCCCAGCAACTATTTTACATGTATTTTTCAAATACTTTGTTGAATGTTACTTTTTTAAAATATGAAACTTGTCAAATAACCTATTAATATAAATGTACTGAAACATACTCAAAATACATCTAAAACTGTTTTCTCTGTACTAAAAGTTCATATGTACCCATATATTCAAATTTGCTTGGGGACTGAAATTGAAGTAAAGGTAAAACTCACTTCTTGTTTGTGTTCTCAGGTCCTAATATTTTTTTGTTTAAAAATAAATATGTGGTAGGCTAAAAAATAAAAGATCCAAACCACGTTTGTCTTTTATATAGACTGTCTTCAGATGAAAATGAACACAAGAAAAGAGCTAACCAATTTAGCAGGACACTTTAGACCCTGGCTTGAACTTCTTTGGTACATTCTGATACCTTTTACTTTTGAGAAATGTGATATGCTCTTTGTTCTGAATGCAACAATAAAGGTAATAGCTATTATAAAAAATATGAGAATAAGTGAGTATGTGTGTAAGTGTGTGTGTGTGTGTGCTTGAAAAAAAATGAGTATACTTGGTTTGATATGCAAGACAAGTGTTCACAGCATAAACAAAACCACAAGGTAATTACTCTGTGTTTTTCTTTAGGCTGTAGCAAGATGAATATGTCAAGATTCCTTGAAGGCTCCTTTGAGGAAGGCCTGTAAGTTTTAGCACAAAGACTGTCCCTAACTTGTAAGTTCTCTGGGTCATCATGAAGTGCCCGACCTGACCTTTTGGATCTGAGAGCACTTTTAAGTGGATTGCTCTTGGATTAATCCTCTTTTTGTTATTAGCAGTGCAGTAAAAGGCCACTAGTGCTGCTTCCTGCATCCCAGAGAACAGTCTATGGGATAAAGAGAGTGCAGTGATTAATTACAGTGTGGTCAAAGAAAAAATAATAGCAACACTGATAAGCTAATGAAATTGTTCCAATATTTGCTTGAACTCTTCTAAAAGCAAGTAAACAGAAATAAATTTATGTGGTTTTAATATGTTAAGCTTCATAGGTCAATTCAAAAACCTCATTTTCTTCACAAGAACAGAAATATTACTAAGAAAGATAAAATTTTGTCTGCTCCCCTTCCTACCTCCCCCCTCCCCTTCAACCCTCTCCCAAGGTTACTCCCAATTTACTCAGGAGATCTTGTCTTTTTCTACTTCCCATGGAGATTAGATCTATGCATGTCTCTCTTAGTGTCCTCATTGTTGTCTAAGTTCTCTGTGATTGTGATTCATGGGCTGGTTTCTTTGCTTTATGTTGAAAAACCACTTATGAGTGAGTAGATGTGATAATTTTCTTTCTGTATCTACGTTACCTCACTCAAAATGATGTTTTCTAGCTCCATCCATTCAGGCAATGAATATTAAGGAGTCAAAAGAAGTTAGAAACAAAACAAGAAATTCGTAAAGATCTAGGTATATTACTGAACAAAATAATACCTTAGTAGTTACTAAATAAGAGAACGGTAACTCTAAATGACTTTGGGAAATAAATCCTTTTTATAAAATTAGACACTGTTATAACACTTTTACTTTGTAAGGAATGGGGGATATAATCCGATTAAATTTTTTTACTCTTCCATTCAAGGAATTTGACTTGGGTTGTTTCTTCAAGGAACGTTCCTGTTATAGCCCAGCACTGCGTTCTCCTGTGCAGCAATTACATATTTCCTTTTCGTGTTTATGCTAATATAACAGGCAACAGTTATAACTGATTCAACACAGGCTCAGGCTCAAAACTCCACTGCTCTAAGATGGAAAGAGAAAGCTAAACTAACCAATAATACTGAAGGAAACTTACCATCAGCAACATGAGTCAGCAGTTCAGTTTCTCAGACCTGAGTTTCTCATCTCCAGGTTATCTTTTCATTTACTGTCTTTATCATTTTAATGGATAAATAGAAAAAGAAAAATACAAATATATAAGGTAAAATCAGAAACAAAAGCTGTGAGAAAACATTATATACAATGTTATAGTAATATATAATATTTTGAAAAATCTAGAGAAAATTACATTATACCAGATGACAACAAATGTATAGAAGAACACTAAAGAAGTTATTAGAAAAACAATTAAAACTCCACCATTAAAGGAGAAACAGTGAAAAACAATGAATTAGGTTTGGTTTCTAAGACTGATATACAAAAAGGCAAATTCCTTAGGAATATTTTAGATCAAACCAGCAAATGGGGATTTGATATCAACTTGCTAACAATAAAGCTAATTCAATTTCTTCATTAGGTATGAATAAAAATAACATAGCAAATAACAGATTACCACAGTTCACTAACAATTTATAAAAATGAAATAATGTAATCAGTTAGCTTTTCTTACAGGAAATTCATTTCTAGAAAAAATGGAAGAAGCTGAATTAATTTAATAACAGAATTTAAAGTGCCAACTGACAAAATGCACTTTCATAATTAAATATGAAATCAAATAAGAAAAGAAAACAAATTAAACACACTAAAGTTAATTTTCTAAACTCAGTAGAAAACACCAGACATTTTTAGACATCAAACACATGAAATAACAAAGAAAATTTTTCTTAACTATTATCATTTATGATAAGTGAAAATATTATAAATTTTGAGACAAATTATCAAGATTATTCTATTTGGTTATTTATGATCATGAAATTATTACAAATAAAAGGAAAATGCAGCAGAATCATTGAAATATTTAAATGGGATAGGAAAATTCTTCTATTTTTTAAATTATTTATTTTTATTTTTATAATAATTTATTTATTTTTATTGTATTTGCATTGTGTTTTGCCTGCATGTATGTCTGTGTGAGGATGTCAGATCATGAAGTTACAGACAGCTGTTAGCTGCTGTGTGGGTGCTGGATATTGAACCCTTGTCCTCTGAAAGAACAGTCTTAACCACAGAGCCATATCTCCAGCCCCAGAAAATCCCCTTATGATAGATGAGTATAAGATGACCATTAATCTGGCTTAACAATATATATGCATAACTCCAGCATTCAGGAGTGATCTCTCCAGGTAAAACATAAAGAAATTGCAAGGCCAGTCTGGGATATGCAAAGAGATTAGGCTAGCAGAGTCTACACAGCAAAAGCCTGCTACAAAGAAACAAAAATAATAAGAAAATCTCCAAATGATAAAAAAAATCTACATACAAATAATAATACAAATGCAAAATAAAACAGTAGTATAACCAACTATAAAGAGAAGTTGAATGTCTATTGTTTCTCAGAGAATAACCAATAAGTTATTATAAGAAATGCAAAACGATAAATGTTTCTAGGAGGAAAATTTAAATTTAAGAAATAAATACTCAAAGTACAATATGCTAATTCAATAAAGATCCATGAGCATTCCTGAGTATATTTTTTAGATTCTATTATTAATTAGTAAGCCCACAATTCAACTGAAAAACAAAACATGAAAGAACAGAGAATTATGGGGAACTGTGTTTATTGTATGTTATCTTTTTCTTAAAACCACTGTAACTATAATATGATTTTATCATGAGAAAGTGAATTAGATTCAGATAACAATATATCACATATAAATTTAATATAGAAGTAAGATTACATTTCAACTCAATGATAACAGGGAATTCATATATTTTATTAATGAGTATATCATAATTGATTGTTCATCCCAGAGCAAAAATATTTTCTAATTCATTTCTCACCAATGTAATGTGATCATCCAACACACTGAAAATTACAGTAAAACTAATTAAATCATAAAATTATAAAAACATTAATAATATACAAAAAACATGAAATGTATGATTTTCCACACTCCAGAAAGGAATCTATTACAAATCAAGAAAATTTAAATATGTGTGACAACATGAACATCCTTTCAAAATATCACCATTATACAGCAAAATAAATGTAGATGGCATCCTCTAAAAATGTTTACAGCCATTTTTTAAAAAAAGCTGCCAACAACAATTCCTATTTTTAATGAAAGTAGGAATTAATACATCATAGAATGACATTTTGGGCAAAACACTGAAAAAATGAACTAGAAACCCATCTCAAAAAGAAAATCTTTAGACACTAAAAGGCACAATGTGCTTCGTGACTTAGGAGTCAGTAACAATTCACAACCTCTGAACCGTCTGAATCACTCTGATGACTTTGTATTATTTGTCAACATTCAATATACTATTTGTCAGTCTCAATATACCCAAATGCTTAATTCCTTTACCTAAAAATTTGAGTTGCTAGATGCTAGAAATAGCATTACTTTTGTGGTAATTTGCTCCAAATTAAAACAAAAATAACCATAAATCTAAGCGTGTTGGATAGTGATGCTTTTATTGGAAAACTATTAAAATTCTTTCTTTGAATAATGAATTCTTTCAAGATCAATGAGTCTTACTTAGCAGTAAAAAGTCAATGACATCGTGAAATCTGAAGGAAAATGGATGGAACTAAAAAAGAATCATCCTGAGTGAAGTAACCTACACCCAGAAAGACAAACACGGAGTGTATTCACCCATAAGCAGATATTATACGTAAAGCAAAGGATATCCAGGCTACAACCCACAGACTGAAAGAAGTTCGGTAAAATGGAGAACCCTAAGAGAGACATGCATGGGTTGCCCTGTGAAGGGGAAATAGAAAAGCTCTCCAGGACAAATTGGGGTTGTGGTGTGAGGGAATGGGGATGAGAATACGCGGGAATGAATGGTCGAGTTGGGAGAAGGACTGAGGAGAGCAATGTAAGAGGCATCTTGATGGAGGGAGCCATTACAGGGTTAGGGAGAAAGTTTATGCTAGGGAAATTTCTAGGAATTCACAAGGATGAACCCAGGGATAACTCCTAACAATAGTGGAGAGGGTGCTTGAACTGGCTTTCTCTTGTAATCAAATTGGTGACTACCATAGTTGTAATCAAAGAACCTTCACTGAGTAAATGATGGAAGCATATGCAGAGATCAATAGCCAAGCACTGGGCTGTGCTCTTGGAGTCCAGTTGAAGAGGAAGGAGGGATTATTTGAGCAAAGAGTAGTCATGCTCATGATGGGAAAAGACACGAAAAATGGCTGACCAAAGTTAGTGGTAGCCATGGACTCTTGATTGACAGACTGACAGCGGGGGAGCCTGCAAAGGCCGAACAAGATTCCTCTGAATGTGAATGACAGGTGCATGGCTTGGTTTATTTGTGGGAACCCCAGCGGTGGGGTGAGGATTTATCCACGGTGCATGAGCTGACATTTTGGAGCCCAATAGCTATGGTGGGATACCTTGCTCAGCTTTGATGCGTTGGGGAGGGGTTTGGTCCTGCTTTAACTCCATATGCCAGGCTTCATTGATTCCCCAAAGAGGCTTTACCCTCTCTGAGGAGAGGACGGGTATGAGCACCCACAGAAGTGAGCCTGTTCCACCTTGACTGGAGGTCAGACAGTTTGAGCTCATTTTTCCTCTTTCAAAGTTGTTAGCAAGCAACAGATGTGGCTACAAACAAGAGATTCTGACCTTGTTGTGGTTAATTAGTGTTTTGGGTATAGAGGTGGATCTGCTCCACCTGGAGCAAAGGTCAGAGAATTCAAGTCTATTCCTTATATCATGTTAATGATGCTTGTTGCCTTCCCCCTCCTCCTTTGGAGTGAATTATATAAGCATGTGGAAAATAAATGCTGATGGAGTCAGTATTCACTGAATTTCCCTCCTGATGCTGTCTGTATCTCTGTCTCTTACTTCTATCATATCTCTGTTCCGTTTGCTTAATAATTCTAATCCTCACACTCCTACTATGGAATATAAAAATTTCTTCAAGGCTGGTCTTTGCCAGAAGGAGATGCGGGAAGATGGGGCAGTGAAAGAAGGGGAGGGAGAACGAACTACGGTTGGGATGTAAAATGAACAATAAAAGAGAAAGAAAGCATTCTGTGTCGATAATAAACAGATTTTCTAAACTCAAATATTTCTGTTGACTTAAAATACACAAATTGAAAGAAATTTTGGAGAAAAGAGTATTTTTATTTCCAAGCTTTTTTTCCCTTTCTGTGGCTAATTAAACATAGTTTGGCTATGTTTACCTTTCATGATAGAGTTATTTTAATCTTAACTCAAATACTCTTATCTAGAAAAAAAACTAATGGGAACTTTACTTATTTCATTCATTTTTCCATAGTCACAACATTAATATGTATATGGAAATTTACTCAGAAAAAAATTAAATACTTGGGATGAATTCAAGCTATGCAAACTTTGGAAGAAGAGATTAATTGGCAATTAGTACAACAATTAATTTCTTTCTTTTCAGGAGAAGTATTTGTACATTAGTCTTTCCACTTAAAAAATCTCTATAAGACCTAAAGATACATTTTGATATTGCTTATGAAGTTAGTCTCAAGTAAACAGTGAGTGAAAAGAATTAGAAAATTTACATTGAATTATTCTTTAGCCTAAAGATAACACTTGCTAATATAAATACCTTCTTATCATTTTTTTCCTGACTTAATTGTAAGAAGTTCTTATCTCTGAGATATGCTGATTGACCATATCGCACTCAATCATTTAACAATTTTAAATTCACAATTTTATTTATTGCCACCTTTCCAGGTTATCTTTGATTTACAGAATGCAGAGTTTTATAAATCAAAAATTTTCAATGGTACTTCTCATTTTAACATTTACAGTTTCAAAATTAATAAGTGTGATGAATGTTATTCTTGAAGCTTCAAATATATCAGAATTTTACTGATAAAACACATACTTGTATCTCAGTGATGATAATGAGTCAATTAGAAGAAAGTAGATTCTTCTGGATTTTCGCATTTTTCTGTCAATAGAGCAGCAGAAATGTGCAGAAGTGTTTTGAAATACAATGTGGTGCAGTTCTTAACACCTAACTTGGAAATAACCACTTTTCTGATGTTGAA